AACCAGTGCAAGATATTGGAGGTGTGAGGCTTACATGATATATATGCCAGTTTACACACAGATTATGAAGAGATTTTTTATTACCAATATTATTTTTAATTGCGGACCAAACAGCCACATTGCATTTTTTTCCCTGAAATTTTAAACATTCTCAAATAGTGTAACTTTAAAACCCAGGAGAAAACAGCCTAGCCACTTCATTTCAACAGCTGTATTAGAATTTTGCAAGAACCCCAATCCTTCTTTTCCCCTTCCATTCTAGTTGTTAAAGAAGCATCAAAATTATAGATAGTTAAAATTTTTGAAATGTCCCTTTCATATTGTTTGACAGCAGCAAAGATCCTTGTAATCATAACTAGCGATCAATATGTCTTACCAGTAAAAATTACATATAATTCAAAATCTAGATAGTTTGAGATCTACAAAGCACATCTTACTTCCTTTATGATAAAATGGAAAGATGGCAATAGCTTAAGTGATCAATACTCTTACTGACCTTTGAGTTTAGTGCCAAATACTTCATTGGAAGCTCATAAAAGATAAACACCAAAAGCATACTATACAAATTGTACTTTCAGTGTATGAGATTTGGTGATACTCCACATACTTGATAGCTTTAACTGCTAATGACACAGATTCACCCCCCCAAAAAAAAGAGTCTATATTACAATTATACAATCTTCTTGTTCAGGACCTCAATAGGAGAAATTCAAAAAAGGGAAGATTCAAAACAAATAGTAAGGCCAGAATATTTGGGTAATCTGTTCTTTTTCATTTCCCTGCTCTAAACAAAAAATCCTTTTCTATTATTTTACCATGTATTTGAGCTTTTTGTTACACATACGAATATAAAATGCAGCATCTCAACAAGATGTGAATAAAGTGTCTTAGTCTCAGACCACCTAGGACCTTGATGGAGAAGGGCCTTTGTGAAGGGTAAAATTCTTCAGTTGGATCCTTCTTCATTTATTGAAGAGCAAATATCCCACATGCACATTAATGTTTATTATTCTAAGTGGGGAATTCCTTATTTCTAGACCGAAGAATTTTCAGTTCTCCTCCCCCCCTCACTTAAGCAGGTTTCTTTCCATCTCTCACAAATCAAAAAAGAAGGTGGAAAGACAACCTTTCAGTGGTGCTCTGATGTGTATTTTAATAAGTTTACTAATCAGAGCACATATAAATTAGAATGAATCATATTCATATCCTTAATAGCAAAGAAAACTCAATTTAACTCATATCCAGCTTTCTTTCATGTTCCTTTTATTCAAGGGCATGCCTTTCTTTCCCCCCCCCCCTTCTTTCTTTCTTGGACACCTCCAACCCCCATTGACAACCAAAATGCAGGGCTATAAATGTAAGGGTGCAATACATCATGAGATAAGTCTAGAGAACATGTCCTCTACCAAAATGCACATGAATCTCTGGTACAGCTAAAATTCCAGAATCACTCTGGGCTTTGTTCCGCATGCTAAGCAGGGTCAAAACTGTGAGCTCTATGTGGTCATCCTTATATACCAGATGAGGTCCAAAGTTTAAAGGTCACATTTGTGAAATTGCAGCGGGGTGTCTTAGCACTTGATTCTCGCTCCTGCAAATCAAAGACTCCTAATTGAAAGACAAATCTGACAATATGATAATCTTTCAATTAAAAAAAAAATGTGACTTCTGAATCCTTATCTGTTGAAGAGCTAACACAGAAGTTCAGAGATGGTTGCTTAACCAGACAAAATAATAGAGAAAATATGTTTTCCAACAAGATCATGAAGCTTGAACAGTGCAGGGAAACACACATGTAGCGAAGGGCTGTCCTCTATTCCCTCCTACCGGTTCTAACTCCCCCCCCCCCCGGTTTGTACACTCAGCCACTCACACTTAGGCAAGGGTTAGTGTGTTCCACATCAGAGTCAAACCCCAAATATCAAGACACTAGAAAGTGGCATCTTGGCATACTTTGAGATCAGAAGGTTTCTGCATTTCCTGGTGGGGGTGGGGTGGGGGAGCAGCACACCAGTGTAGCAAAATCTGGAAACAACAGCATATATACAGACACAAAAAAAAGTTTGCATATTGCACAGAGCGCTTGAAGATCATAAATCTATGCATGAGAAAGATGTAGTGGAAATTTTGGGGGGGATTAGAGTTTATTTTTGTCATCTCTGTGAGACAGCTACTCATTCATCCAGATCACAGCTAAGAAAAAAGCTGGTCACAGAAATTAGCAGTTTCAGCTCAGCAGCGAAGTCGCCAGCCTGTGAAGGCAGAGAGAAATTGACTAATTAGCAATGCGCACTAAAACTTGACGGTTCTTTATAGAGAGAGAGAAGAGAGAGGGAGAGAGAGGGAGAGGGAGGGAGGGGGGGCTCGCTTTTTCCCCTTCTTTCTTCCAAAGATGTTTGAAATCGCAGTCATTTACGCTCGACAATTTTTACAATAGCCTTGAGCCATAATTTTGCGAGTCTCTCCAGCATCCATCCCCCTGTATGGTCTCTCTCTACTGGCCAAGCACGACCGTTTCTCTCCCCAACCGTGGATTTCCTATTACTCTCGTTACGACTCACTGAGCCCCAGGCCCAAGGATAATGATGTGTTGTTTCTTGGTAGCATAATTTGTCACACGTACATTTTTTCTTCTTCTTCTCTTGCAGAAAGCTCTGCTCCCTCTCTCTCTCTCCCTCTCTCTCCCTCTCTCTCCCTCTCTCTTTCTCTCTTTTCTCCCTCTCCTACATTTTCTTGCTGTTGCTAATTCATGGTGATCAAATGATGTACGACAAAATAAATTGTAAAGAGTGACTGCCTGGAGTTGGGAACCAGAAGGTGTTTTCCCCCTCCCAAGGAGAGAGCAAACCTTTAAAAAGGAAGGACAATTGATTTTTGGGGGGGAGCTTAAGTGAGCCTTGACTTTGCAGCTGGTTGAAAGCAGGTAAGTTTCTGGCCTTGTGTCTGCCTTGTGTGTATTTTGTTCTGTCTTTTGGGTTGTTGGCGGGGGGAAGGGACGGGAAGGGAGTCTTTGGGGGGGGGGCTGTGTGGCAAACGCTCATAAAGAATTAAACTCCTATGGCAAGAAATAGGCAGATGAGGAGGAAAGGCAAAGGAGGAGAACAAGGAAGGGGAACAGAAAAAAGATGGGGGGGGCGAGACAACGAAGCGGGGAGAGTGAGAGAGGTATGACCGGGTCCACTTAAGGGGAGAGACTCTGGGAGATTGTTTCAGGAAAGCCCGAGCTTTGGGGGCCTTTGGGGGAGGGGGTCCTGCCGGGGGAGGGAGCTCGAGGGAGGCTAGGGTCCGCCTGGAACGGGATGGTAAAGTGAGTCGAGAGGAGCCCAGTGGGGGCTAAAGGGGAAGCCGGCGATCCAGGGCTGGCGCCAGGCAGGGCAGGGAGGGGGCCGCAGGGGAAGGGGCAGGTCCGGCGGGATCCCTCGGAGCCGGGCGGCGGCGGCGGCGGCGGCGGCGGCTGCTCTCCCGGGCGGGCGCGCGGGCGCGCGGGCGGGATGTGGGCAGAGGGTCCCTTCCTGCTCGGCCCTGGAAGGTGCAATTACAGGTTAAGGACCTGGCGTATCGATTTCGCCTCGCCTCCCCCAGCCTCCGTCCTCCGCCTAGATGCGGGCGGCTCAGACTTTTTTTTTTTTTTTTTTTTACAGAAGTAGTTCCAGGGCCAGGAGAGTGGGGGTGCCCGAGTGGGGGGCCGGTGGGGCTTGGAACCGAGGGGCTCAGAAGGAAGCTGCGGCTTCGTGCGGCGACGCCGGGTGGGATGCAGACACCCCGCACGGAACCTCCACCTCCACCCCCCCCCCCCGCATGAGACAGCCCCCACCCCTCCCCCAACACCTGCCGGTTAACTTGAACTTCTCACAGTTCCCGGAGTTAAAGCCAGTGTTCCTGCTGCCTGGGAGACGCAACCTTGCACGTGAATCCCTCCGGGCCTCCGGGCTCCGGCTCTAAAGCCGCCCCGGGAGCCCCACCGCCTCCCTCCTCAGCCCCCTCGGTGCCGCCCCGCGAGGGAAGGGGGGATACCCGTCTGAACTTCCACGCTTTGAGATGCGGGGGGCGGGAGAGAGGAGGCCGGGGCGTGGGGGGGGTGGGGGTGGGGGGCTGAGAGGATTCTCCTGCCAGGTTTAAAGGCGTCTCTGGAAAATTAGCAACACTGAGTGGCGACGGGGAAGCCAACAGTTTGCGAAGCGGGGAGGCAGGCAGGGCCGGGGTGAGGGAAATGAGCTAGAATTGATAAGGACAGCTCCCGCCTCCGCCGAGTCCGCCGAGCGGGTCCTCACCGCGCTCCGCTGCACTTGCCCGGGAGAAGAAAGGGCCTTCTCTGCTACCTCACACTATTAGCCTAGGAGTTTCTCGGGGCAGCGCGGATAATCGAAGGGGCTCCCAGCTTTCGGAGGGCTGAGAGTCGCCCACCCGCACGTTTGTCGGGTCCCCTTTGCTACCCCCCCCCCCAAACTGGACCAACTGCGAACAGCAAAGCTGCAGGCACTAGTTGACCTGGAACCTCCGCCGACGGTCGCCTCTGCGCTCTCGGGGACCCCCGGTCCCCACTCCCCGGCCTCTCCCCTCCTCGGGCCCGGCATGGACACAAGCCCACGAGGTGTCTCGGCCTCCGCCGCCACTTTGCCGTCGCTGCTGCTACCGCTGTCGCTGCCGAGAGCCGAGCGCGGGTGGTTTTAGGAAAGTGAGGGACGAAGTGTGTGGGCGGTGGCGTGAGGAGCAGCAGAGAGCGGAGCCCGCGCCCCGACCCCGGACAGGGCCCGTTTGGTGGCGCTCACGGATTCAGTGCCTTCCGACCGTACCCCTAGGGTCCGGGTCCTGGGGCGCGCCGGGCGGGAGCCAAGCTGAGCACTGATTGTCGTTCTTCACCGTCCCCTCCCCTCCACACCCTTCCACACCCCGACCGCACCCCACCCCCTCCACCACCCTGCTCCCCTCCCTCCCATCCCCCACCCCTGTCTGCCAGGTCGGAGGAGGGTTTAAAGCCAGGTGCGCCGAGTCAGCTCGCCATGTCCAGATCCGGGGACAGGACCTCCACCTTCGACCCCAGCCACAGCGACAACCTGCTGCACGGCCTCAACCTGCTGTGGAGGAAGCAGCTGTTTTGCGACGTGACCCTGACGGCCCAGGGCCAGCAGTTCCACTGCCACAAGGCCGTGCTGGCCTCCTGCTCGCAGTACTTCCGATCGCTCTTCTCCAGCCACCCCCCTCTCGGGGGAGGGGTCGGCGGCCAGGACGGCCTGGGGGCCCCCAAGGACCAGCAGCAGCAGCCGCCGCCGCAGCAGCCGCCACAGCAGCAGCCGCCGCCGCCGCAGGAGGAGCCCGGGACGCCTTCCTCCTCCCCCGACGACAAGCTGCTGACCAGCCCCCGGGCCATCAACAACCTGGTGCTGCAGGGCTGCTCGTCCATCGGGCTGCGCCTGGTGCTCGAGTACCTCTACACGGCCAACGTGACCCTCTCCCTGGACACGGTGGAGGAGGTGCTGTCGGTCAGCAAGATCCTGCACATCCCCCAGGTCACCAAGCTCTGCGTGCAGTTCCTCAACGACCAGATCTCGGTGCAGAACTACAAGCAGGTGTGCAAGATCGCCGCGCTGCACGGCCTGGAGGAGACCAAGAAGCTGGCCAACAAGTACCTGGTGGAGGATGTGCTGCTGCTCAACTTCGAGGAGATGCGCGCCCTGCTGGACTCGCTGCCGCCCCCCGTGGAGTCGGAGCTGGCGCTGTTCCAGATGTCCGTGCTGTGGCTGGAGCACGACCGCGAGACCCGCATGCAGTACGCGCCCGACCTCATGAAGCGCCTCCGCTTCGCGCTCATCCCGGCCCCGGAGCTGGTGGAGCGGGTCCAGTCGGTGGATTTCATGCGCACCGACCCGGTCTGCCAGAAGCTGCTGCTGGACGCCATGAACTACCACCTGATGCCCTTCAGGCAGCACTGCAGGCAGAGCCTGGCCAGCAGGTAGGAGACAACAAAGAGGGAGGACGGGGGGCGGGGGGGGGGGGTGAGCAGGAAAGGCCAGAGGGAGGGGAGGGGGCAGAGGGGAGGGGGAGAGGGATGGGCTGCGTGGGAGGCTCCGGCAAGCTGAAAACAAGCACAAACAATTTAGACTGCGTGCGGAAAGTTGATTTCTGAGTCCATTAAAGGTCAGCAGGGAAGCGGCCTGCGAACCGCCCTGAGCGCTAGGCAGCCCGTGCTGGGTCAACATCCCCAGAGCAAGAAATGTGGGACTCGTGGACTGACATTGACAGGCAGGTGGGGCCAAAGGCCGGGGCAGGTACAGGTGCAGCTTTACCACCCTCTCTAACCAGTGCTCCCTCCAAATCTCAAAACGAGCTTGCTTAAGGAAAAGGATTCGGCGCTGACAAGTCCCCACCCCGCTCCACCCCTTTCCTGCCTTGGGCGAGCGGGAGCGCCCTGGGGATGCTCCCTGAGGAGAGCTTTCATTCTTTCCGTCAGACACTCAAGGTTTGTGGTGGTGGTTGTTGTTGTTGTCGTCGTCGTCGTCGTCGTCTAGTGACTGAGGTCTGCTCCCTTTGGAAGTTAGAGCTCCCAAGGGTTTTGTCTATTCGGGTCACTATTGGACATTCTGGCATTACCTATCCAGGCAAACTTTTCTATCTTGTGGAAAGCCTTTCCTTTTCACTTTTAAAGGAGAGCAAAGCAAGAGGTTTCAGGGTGTCAGAGTGAACCGTGCCTCGCAGCTTCCATCTCTAAGGGGAGACAGCTGAAAATTGGGAGGAGCGCTGTCATCTGGCTCCAGTTAGGTCCTTGTACCTGTTCTGAAGTCACAAAGAAGTTGGGGACGGGCTTGTCGTTGCTCTTCGGAACATGTCTGTGTGTACAAATGGTTTCATGTCAAAGGGGAGAGAGAAATGATGCCTTCTTAAAATGTTGCTGAGTTGTTTGCTTGTTTGTTTTAACGTAGGAATTGACAGTCGTGTTTCATTGGCTCCAATTTTAAAACCCGTTTTAATGAGCCCTCGCAGAGGGTTTCTTTCTCTTTTTAGAAAAGGGAAGCAGTATCTTCTCAGTTTCTCATGATAAAACAATATCATTTCAGATGCCAGGCTACCCCAGCCTAATTCAGCAAAGTATTAGAGGGTTTTAAAAAAAAATGACATTTTCCCATTCAAAGGGATGTCTAAAGCGGCGGGGGGGGGGGGACACTATGTGCAGCTTTATGGAGTAAAAACATTTTTTTAGTCATGATGTTTCTACTAGACCCAGGTACCCAGGTAGCAACGTTTTAAGAGAAGGAAGATAGTGTCTCCCGCTGTTTAGACAGCGCTGGTGTTCAGGTGAGGCCCACAAAGGTATGGGAAACCTTGGACTCACAAACCTAAGTTGATTTTCTAGTGTTTGTGAGAGATGAGTTCATGAACTGTGTCAAAAAATGACAGTAGGACAATAGCACAATCAAGAATCCAGACCCTTGTGTACCCGAATAGCGAGCACAGGAGTCTAAGTAGGAACAAGAGCATGAAATGTATTTTTATTTTGTGAGAGCTCTTCATTGCTCTAAAGATCAAAACTTAGTGTGATGGGCAAATGTCACCATACCACTGGGCACTGATGATTAATATTCTGTAATCTTAACTTTTATCACTTCTCAGTGACCTACAGGTATACTTAATTTAGCATATATTTTACATATTCATCCACAGAATTCACAAACAACACAGCTGTAGTCCTGAACATGTATTTATTCATATTTTTAACAACATGTAAAATCTAGTATAAATTCAGAAACCTACAGCGATAAGAAGATTAGGACTTAACTTGTTTTAAGAATGATTGGGGGATATGAGCATTACAGATCTGATCTTGTAAAGAATTTCTGAAGCCCTCGATGCACTTGTGCCTAATAAGTATGTTCTAGGGTCCAGTGTTAGAACAGTTGACTGTCAAAATGCAAAATCCATTTTCCACCTTAGTCTGGCTTCAGTCTCCCGGCTGGGGCCTGCTGGCTCTGTCCTGGTGGATGGCTGAGATAGCAGGCTGCCTGGCTCCGTGACGACACCTTCCAGCTTCACTGGGCCATATCATTTGAAGGATATGTAGTGGCGTCTGACCACTAAATGCTTACAAGTGTCATGAATGCTGCAAGAATCTGATACTTCTGCGGCAGGAAGAAAAACTGTATTTTTCCTTAAAAGCAGAAGACACAGAGAAGAAAACAGTTCATGTGAACCTATTGTTGATCTCAAAGTAATACAATTTAGATTTTGTTCCATTATTGATAACTGTGGCATTCTAATTTTTTGGGATTAATTACCGTTGTTCTAATTCTAATTCGCAGGAAGAATGTAAGATGAACCATCAGGATCTTCACTTTAATGTAGACAAAAATGCTATAAGTTGTAACCGATAGTATTATATTGGCCCATTTATTATAGCATCAGCATAATATAAAAATGTTCTCTTAGACTTACATGTAGTTTAACAGAAGGATAAATATGTTGAACAATTGCTTTTGCAAACACATCACTTTTATTGAAGGCAATTGCATAATATTTATTACTTTTTATCCACCTAAATTTTTAAGGTCTAAATATGAAAGAATTCCTCAAATTCAGGCAAAGAGTTGAAAAAATTTAAATGGAGTTATCTGTTGGAAAAAGTACAAAATTTGAGGAAATAGAATAACTTCACAAAGAATTTACTTATTTAAGAATACATTTTCTCTATAGAAAGTAAGGCTATTAATGTAATAACAATGTTTTTAATATTCTTAAAGACTACTAAGTGATTTTGAATTTTTATTAAAATAAAGCAACCCAAACCTAAAGACTTAATATATAAATAAAATTTTTAATCTTTGCTCTAGTTGTTTAGTCTTTCCAAGTATGCCATTTATGCTCAGATTTGTATTTTATCTTAGCAAATTAAACATTTAGAATAATAAATTAAAAATAAGAGACTTATTATATGATGTTCAAATATATGCATTACTAATTTAAGAGAAAAGGAACTGAGTAGACAAAACTTAAGACATTTAAAGTCTTATTTTTTTTTGCAAGAAATAAAAAACTTAAGAAATAAGCTCTTGAAAAAGTTTCTGCAAAAGTCATTATTAAAAGCTTCAAAAGCATGAAAATTCAATTTAATAAGTGACATAACATGCAACGTTTACGACATTAAAAAGTAAATATCAGAAGACATATATTCTTAAGTTTAGCTTACATAATCCCCAAAGTATCTTTTTTCCTTGTAGTTTTAAAAACTTAATGTATAATTTAGTAGTCATTCAAATAAGTCAATTTGGACTGGATTCATTACCTTCCTGTTTACATTTTCATTGGCTCTCACACAATGTAATAGTTAAGGGAATGCTCATTGAAAATTGAAAGAATTAAGACTATAAAATAAGAAAACTTCAGCCTTGCACTTCACCAATGTGTTCCTCAATCTATGTGACTAATGCACATAACAAAAGCCTATTGAACCTACAGGAAAACACCTGTCATAGAAAAGCATTCGTGAAAATAATCATATTTTTAAAAACATTTAACCATCAGCTATTACACTCCTATGTACAGTCCTGTATGGAAGTGTACTTTTCCAGAGATTATATTTTATAGAAGACAGAAGGCTACCTTATAAAGATTTTACTCTCTAAAAAAGTCTATTTAAAGATTTCACAGAAATTAATTTGAAATCCATTTAAACATCAGAACTACAATTATCTATTGGCTAAAATGACTTGTAATGATTAAAAAGCCATTAGCTTTCCTAATAACACAGTTTTGATTCCTGGCTTTGGTGCTTAAAAAGTGTTTCTTTAAATGTAGAACAGTATTTTCGATTGGTTCTCCTCATAAGGCCTGAATAACAACCTTAGCAAAGCAAACTAATCTTGTATCCATGTATTCTCTAAATTGTTACTTCCTTTTATATCAATTTGATACCCTCGGATTAGAAGTTGTTAGGTACTTAGATTTTTGTATCAGAAGTTACTCAACCATTCAGAATACAATTTGTTTATTATGTGAAACAGGACCATTGATTACAAAATTATATCACAGGTATGGGAGCCAAACAGTTATATCCTGCAATCGAAAGGCAATTAGAGCAGATATTAATGTGTTGTATTGGCCTAGAGAATTTACTGACAAAAGAGGACATGTTTAAATTTTAATTCGTACTTGTATTTATTCCATATTTTTGAACATGTTGAGTTTCACTCATTACCATAGCTAATTTCTAAGTATCTCTATTTTCTTAACTGAAAATGACAGTAAAAAAAAAAAAAAAAATGTTCATTTATTTACAACAGCTACTTCATACCCAAGGATATTCTAAGCATTTTACAAGCATTAACTTATTTAATGCTCAAAAGAACCCTAAGGAATGGATACTATCATTAACCTCTTTCTATAGATGGAAATACTGAGACACAGAGAAGTTAAGCATTTTGCCCATGGTTGCACAGCTGATAAGTGGTGGAGCCAAAGTCTGAGCCCTGGAGATATGGCTCTTGAGTCCGTGTTCTCATCCACAGTGTTCTGCTTCTTGCTATGAGCTTCTCCGTGCGAGGATATGATCTAGTGACCATCCTTAGAGTTATATATAGACCCAAGACTTTCCTTTTGGAAAGAAACTTAAGAGGGTTAAATATTAATGTATCTGACTTTAAAAAAAAAGGTAAGGAAAGATACTGTTCTAGGCCTGGGGTCAGAATTCTTTTTTCTGTAAAAGACCAAACAGTAATTATTTTTGGCTTTGGAAGTCACAGGATCCCATTCTTTCCTCGTAGCACAAAACAGCCAAGGACAATATGTAAATGAGTGGGCATTGCTGTGTTACATTAGGATGCCACCTGTAGGCATTGAAATTTCATATAATTTTCACATGTTATGAAATGTTATTTGTTTAAAAAAATTCCCCCCACCATTTAAATATGTAAAAACCACTCAGGGCATGAGAGGCTACTTAGAAACTGGAGGCAGGCTGGATTT